CTCAAGACCATAGTCTATTTAATCCCAAAAAAAGTGATTCGACACCTCCTTCTTCAAAGGTTAGAAGGAGGTTGTCCTTCCCAAGTATTAATCCTGAGATAGTTCAGTTTTGCCCTTTTTTGCTCGCTTGCAGATCTTTCGAATAATGACGGGGATACAATTGCGTTCGGACAGGGTCAGGTAGGGCGCGTGCAAAGCTATTCAAGATTTGAGCCGGGGTCAGACCACATTGTAGTAATTCATCCATGGTTGCCTTTAGTGCCGAAGTACTTCTCCATTTTCTGTCGGGAAGGTTCAATATTAGTAATTCTGTTCTTTGGGCTAAGTTTTTATCTTCGAACCTTTCTCTGACGGCTTTGAGAAACTCCTCAATACGGGTTTGTTGGCAAAACTCCACCATTGAAGTACAACCCGCTTTCTTTTGTAATGAGATGACGAAGCTCATTGCGTCGTCGGCCATACACGAAGTGGCAATCAGAACTCTATCCCAATACGGAATCCGTTGTCCATAGACATAGGACTCCACTGCCGTCATCCAATGCAAGACACTTTCCTCTTTCTTGCTTGTGTAGGTCCATGAAATTTTTACTTTAATTTTGTTGCTAGGTACCGCTCCTTCTTCTCGTCGTACTCCCTTTCCTTTTTTATCTCCATCGCCTCCATCCCCGTCTCCATCACCGCTTCCTCCTCCGCCGCTGCCACCTAATATTTTATTGGCCACGGCAGGATCTGCCAATCTCTTAGCCAAGTGCTCATCTAAACTTTCTACACAAGCAATTATATGCTTGTCAATTTCTTGTGAAGATCTTTGTAGAAAGCTGTTCCAGACCCCTTCGAACTTAAATTGATGCTGTTAGAGGCCCTGGACATTTTTAGTTAACGCTGCCAGTTGTTGATTGGTGTGGAGGAGTGTATCCGTGATGAGAGAAAGTCGATTGTCAATAGCAGGTTTCTGTTCTTGTACCTTCTGTTCCTGCAATTGCTTCCGAAGTCGCTCTCCTTCTTCCTTCAATCTTTTCGTTTCCTCGAACTCTTGTCTTTTTGCGGCTAACATTTTGTTGCATAATTCTGCTTTCTTTTCTTGAAGGAGAAACTCTTTTTCTGCAGGGTCTTCTATTGAGGCTAAGAGTTCCACAAATGCAGTTTTATCCTCTTCAGACTCAACGTACATGGGAGTCATGTATCCATACTTCTCAAGCCAATTAATGTTCGCGGGCTTAAGGTTGATGCAAGTTGGCCTGCTAGACTGCCCTCGTTCTGTCTGACGACGATACAACCTCTCACCATTTTCCTCTTCTTCTTCTTTTTTTTTTTCTTCTTCTTCAACAACTTTTAACTCTTCCTGTAGTTTCTTTTCCTTTTCTTTCATTTCTTTCTCTAGCTTTTCTCTTTCTTCTTTCACCTTCTTTACCACTTCTTCTTTTTGTTTCTTTTTATGTTTTTTTTTCCTTCTTCTTTTCTGCTAGACGGCGATCTATCTCAGCCTACTCAGCAGGTGTGGGCCCTGGCTTCACTGTTCCGGAGCGCATCATCATCCTGGATGCGCATACTCTACCAAAACCTTATTGGAAAAAGACGCGGAACAGTGGGCCCAACAACACCGAAAGGGCAATCATGCCCTGCATAGGAAAGTCGTCCACCATGGTGGGACTTAGCATAGGGTACCCTCCACAGGTCCCACCAGGCAGGCCTCCTAAACAGATTCCGAGGCTAATCTAAGTGGATGTGGATGGAATAAACAACTAACACGTTATTCGTTAAAATATGACATTATACTGTGTCCTCTTTCTAACGAATTAATTTTTGGCTGTAGCCTAAGCAACTTATGCCCATCCAGGGGTTAACCACATGCAGAAGCGTGCTGAGATCCATACTTGTGAAACTTCATAAATGAAATCCCAAATGCGGAAGCGTGTTGGGATCCTTACTTGTTGAACTTCAAAAACATGTTGGTGATCCTGTGGGGAAGTGTGTTGGGATCCATATTAGTCAAACTTCATAAACGAGCAACGATTGGCACGCCAAAGGGAACCCTGTGCGGAAGTGTTTCGTGATCCTTACTTGTCAAACTTCAATTTTATAAATGTGAAGAAAGATACAGTAACTATATTGTGACACTGTCCTCTTTCTTACGAATTCATTTTTGACTGGTACATGGGCATGCCCGCCTAGTCGCCCCAAATGCGAAAGTTTGCTGACATTCATAGTTGTTGAACTTTTGTAAAAAAATTAGCAATGTAATTAGATTCAATTGGAGAGTATAATTCTTTCAGTTATCCCAGAGGCACACATGCAGGTTCATCGTCTTGCTGAAGACGGTTGTTTAGATGTATGATGAGATCCGGACTTGTTCTTAGAAGACTTGTGACCCTGGCAGATTGGAACAGGAGTGTGCCGAGATCCATACTTGTTAAACTCAAAGCTTACGTATGTGATGAGCAAGGTGTCATGATTGAAYTGTTGTTGGTTAAYACATCAAATTTTCGTTTACTACGTTATCCCTAAGTCCGAATCTCTTCAACATCCAAACAATCGTCTCGGGTGAGACGACGGGTGTGCTTGCATAAGTCCGAATCTCTTTCACATCCAAACAATCGTCTCGGGTGAGACGATGGGTGTGTTTGCATAAATTTCGCATACAGGCACGCTCATCATCTCGCCTGACATGAGGGCACTGAGATCCATACTTGTTCATAGTTGTGATGGGCAAGGTGTATTTCAATAACCACTTAATTTCGATATTCTATGTACAAGTGCAGAACTTTAAATTGTGTTCCATCACGATAAATATCCGCATTTCAAATGGTCAGGCAAAGAAGGTTTGGGCATCCACTGACCAATTTCACATAAGATGAGATTTTTCATTCATCCACCGACCAGTTTCACAATCATGTTTACATTTCCAGTTCAACAGAATTCGAAACATGGAACACAATACTTCAACTTTACGAAATTTAACGATCAACGAATAGAACACCTTAAAAAAAAGTTTCGAAGTCAATCAAATCTATTAAAGACAACGATGTTCTAAGACACATGATGCTAATTATCATCTAAGAAGCGGAATATCTTTACAAGAGAACCAGAAAGGCGGTCGATCTCCACGTTGCAACAACGTCGCATACATCAACATGAACGCACCACAACTTGCTCCATCCACTTGTCTCGGAACTCCATCCATCACAACATTTCCCACTATGGACTTCCAATTCCTACCCGACCGCCTATGTGATGTCTAAAGTTCCAAATACTGCACAATCAACCCGAAAACACTAAGGTAAAAACTAGAATCAGCTACAATGCCAGGAAAAGAATAAAACATTTCGAGAACATCATCTCTCATGTTGACGGAAACGAGAATCCAGTGATCAGCATCTTTGTAGACAGGAACGAAGATAATATCGTAACAAAGCAAATCTACGTTTTTTGTCCACCTCTGCACCCCACCGTGTCCTTGAAGTCGCAATTTACTGAAGAAGAACGAATTAAAGTTGAAGACTTGAAGGCTTGAAGAGATGTCACGTGACCCACATGCGGTGGACCCCAACAACGCCATATAGAAATTGACCACCTCATCATTCACCCTGCCGTTGACATGCAAGAGGGTGAGGAGATCTTTTGCTGCAATCCGAAATTGACCATCGCCCAGTATAGAGAAAAAAGTGTTAGACGGCACCGAGCCTCGTACAATGTCGTCCAAAACCCGCAAGCTCAGAGGCGCAATCGTTGCAGCGAAACTTTTCCCGCGTGCTGCACTTGTTGCCCGCACTGCAGAACATCGAGCAAAGGACACGTGGGGTAGTGAGAAACGGAGTTCTAGGCAGTCCCCCGGTGCATGACGCGTTGCTAAGTACTTCTCATACATGGCCTGACCCCTACTCACAGATCGTGGATATGTCCCTTTCTCTGGGGCAAGAAGGGAAATACATTCCTCAATGGCAACGGTGTACTCCTTCTTCCCGATCTCGACATCAACCCCTGATGCCTTTAACATATCCTTGTGTTTTGTACTCAACCCGGGGACTTTCTGTAATATGTGCTCTGGATATTTGGAGGACCTCCGTGTTCGAGACAACACCACCCCTGAACAACAGAAGAAAGACAAAACGGAAAATGAGAACCATACATTCGTACAGACGCAACAGTCAAGCAGGACCTCTCTGACCACAGGACCCTGATCTCGCGTGGTCATGTATACCCAGGTGCGGTTGTGCGATTGAAAAACAAAATGACTGCAACATCCGAGCTTATCACCCCCGCACTTCGCAAAGGAAAACCACCACAACTCACAGAAGCCGGAGGCCGGCAACCCCCGAAGTTCAGACTTCGGCGGACTTTTCAATACACCAGCCCCACTAAGACTGACCACATCACGCATCGACAAAGGAAGTTCGGGTCCCGGCGGACTAAAACCGACACTATTCTCGAGAAGGAAAAACTGTCAGTCCATCTACTTGGCCACTTTCTTAGCACCTTGGCCTACAGTCAAGCAGGACCTCTCCGACCACAGGACCCTGATCTCGCGTGGTCATGTGCACCCAGGTGCGGTTGTGCGACTGGAAAACAAAACCACTGCAACATTCGAGCTTATCACCCTCGCACTTCACAAAGGAAAACCACCACAACTCACACAAGCCATAGGCTAGCAATCCCCGAAGTTCGGACTGCGGCGGACTTTTCAACACACCAGCCCCACTGAGACTGACCACATCACGCATCGACAAAGGAAGTTCGGATCCCGACGGACTTAAACGGACACTATTCTCGAGAAGGGAAAACTGTTAGTTCATCTACTTGGCCACTTTCTTAGCACCTTGGCCACTTCCTCAGCCGGGGCAGATCCTTCCTTGGATGGAGTGTAAGGTTTTGGACGAAGTTTTCGCCGCCCTCGACTAGCAACCCAGTCGAGTCACAGATAGTGCGGACTGTAATCCGGCGACATCCGGATGCGCAGGCGTTCTTCACGACTTTTCAGTCTGTTTCTCTCTCCGCTCCTTCGATGGTGAATTTGGCGCAGGCAAAGCGAGCACGTCGAGAGCTTGACCGCCGAACCTCGATTTTTTTGGGAACGTCACATGTTGTCCTCCACCGAACTCGCCTTCCCCTTCGGCGGCAAGGGTGGCCGGCAGCACCAGAGACTTCGGCAGCGACGGAGCGAGGCAGCTGCCACGGAGGATGCGATGTTGGCAGTTGCGGATGGACGGGCAAACACGTTGTGGTCGCCGAGGATACCGTCGATAACTTCATCGATGCTTATACGTCGACTTTTTTCAGACGGGCTGATAGCGACGGAACCCTCGTCGAACCGGTGTTGCAAGTCGACAGCAGACGTCAGTGGCCGGACCGCAAAATCTTCAGGCTCTGTGGAAAGGCTGCTGACCACTTGTGTCTCCATCTCTATTGCCGTGGCATCGTCATCGACATCATCCTCGTGATGCTTTCCGTACAGTTGTCCGAACTCGTCAGACGACTCTCCAGATCCGGCATCGTCCTCACTGTGTTCCACTTCGTCTTCTCCAGACCCGGCACCCTCCCTTCCTTCAAACAAACCAATTAGCTCCGTTTCTCTCGCTTCCTCCCCTTCCACCTCTTCTTCCCCTTCTTCCTCCCCTTCTTGCGCTCCCTTCTGTTCCTCCATTTTCTCCCCTACTTCCCTCCCACAAAACTCGTCCCCTTCCGCGGTACCCGTGCTGAATCTCGAGGACCGCCCTTCTGTCCCCGTGCACGCTGCCCCTCTCAACGGCATGACAATCCCTGGCCGACAAACCCCGCCCGAAGAAGTTCGGATCTCAGTGGACTTCGTGGTCTCCGTGTCGCCAGACCCTGCATTTGCAGCCTCCTGCTGCAATCCTTGTGGCCGTCGCTCCCGCTCAGGCAACACCTTTTCGACGTCTCTGTCCCGCGCCGCAATGCTGCGAATTTCTCGATCCTTGCTTGGATCCCCCGACCTCGAGCAGCTTCGCATTCGGACTGCTCTCGCGGCTCTTCACCCGACGTAGTTCGGATCCCGGCGGACTTCGGCTTTCCGGCCGAGCGACTGCCCAGAGCAACCAAGGCTGCCAAAGTGTCCCTCGCTGAGCCCACGGACGAAGTCGGGGGGTCGGCGAAGTGTGTCGTATGCTCGGGCCGGGTGCCTGTCGACGGAGTCCGGTCGACGGTGAAACCCGCCACCCCGGCGCTGCCTCCTGATGTTGTGTTGCGGTCGTGAGACCCTCTCTCCCCCATAGGCGGGACTCCTTTGCCACCCCCTGCGTCGCCACCCCCATCCCCTCCGCTTCCAAGTGACCCCCCCCGGAATCAGGGTCCGGGCCACTGGGAGGGGGCACTTTATAGTCCACCACGCCCTTCGACAGACTCGTGTCGAGCTCATAGTAGTCCTCCATCAATTCCAACCAGCACTTGTCCTGAAGGAAGTCGAACAGTCGACCGGGACAGCCTGGTTGCGGGTGCAAACGTGACATTTTCGGCCCTCACTTTCTGGAGGACCGAAATCCTAGCGAGGTGAAGGAAGTTGGACTTTGACTCGCGCGAGAATGACACTCATCCTGCGCCCGGGATTGCGACGGCCATGACCCACTCGCCATTTCGTATCGCTGGCTGGATGACTCCCGGATGCCAAACCATGTCATGGCCCCAGTCCAGCTCAGGTGAATGACGTTGCGGTTCAAGCAGGAAGTGGATGTTGTCATCCTTCCAAGACGGATGATCGGGCGGGACGACGGACCCGGGACGCAAAGCAGGCGGGGGGGCGGCCAGAGCTCTTATTCTCTCCAGCAACTTCATCGGCGTGGTACAAGGCGCCGGTTTGGCCAATGGTGACACGAGGGCTGCAACGCTTGGTGATGGACCGACCGACGAGGACCCTCGGCCGTGGTCCGCCGGAGGCGGCTCGTACTGCAGCTCGATGCTCTCCGTGTCGCTCTCCTCCTCCTTCACGTTGGCGACAAACTCCACACCTATGGCTTCCTCGTCGTCAGTGGAGATCACGGAAGCAAAACTGGCTAACTTCAACTGCTCCTCGTACTCCACGAAGTACAGCAATTGCAGCCTTTCGATAAACGTCTTCGCATTCAGGCATGAGGCGAAGTGGTAGTTGTCGAGCAGTGCCAACATGTGGTCCTTCCGGCAGATGTACTCGGCATCAGTGTCCCTCCTCGGACGCGTTTGAAGGAACAAGAAATCGTATATCTTGTTCCTCTTCCTCTCGCTCAACTTGAACTACATATCCGTCTTGTTGCTTCACAACTTATCCCGTGTTGGTCTCACGACCATGAACTCACAATTCTGCCCACCCGAATTGACCTCGCTTTTCACCACCTGCATCGTGAATTTGAAGAGGTCAGAGTTCCCTTCCATTGCGACGACGTGCCGACCGACCTTCAGAAGTTCCCAGACGCTTCGCGCGTGCGGTTTCCCAAGAAACACGACACCTTCTCCCTTCTTGCCAAGAAAATCAAGAAGAACGACGAATTGTGTCGGATTGCGTTCCATATCCCCGTAGACGATGCCCTGTCGTTCAGGCGCCACCAGCGACCAGTCGCAAGTAATGAAGGGAATCTCGGACACATCCGTCTGGGTGACCCTCTAAGGCAATTGCACCGCAGCAGCGACATCCCTGGGCAGGTTTCCCTCGTAGACCACGGACGTGTTGACGCGCAGATCGTCACCCTTGAAGAGGATGTACATGCGGTTTTCCTCTGTGTACAAATTGTTCCCAACGGGGAAGCTTTTTTTTTGCTGCGCTCTCCTCACCCACTTCCCTTCCAACAGCTTGACGAAAGAAAGATGGTGCATGCTGGCGAGAAACGACAGGTTGTGCTGCCGCGCACGAAAACAACGAGAGTTTAATGCGAGGGACACCACGTCTGAACATAGGAATTCAAAGTCTCCCACGCTTGGGGCTTTCACAGTTTGAGGTCAACGGGCTCGCACAGATCGAGGACGAACGTGTGGCTTTTTGTGGCAGCCACTGCCTCCTTCAGCTATGCGCCCCTGATGTCCACCTCTAAAGGGTCGTTGGCGAACGGCGCGATGGATGTCACGTCCCCCGTGTCTTTCCATTTAATGTGAACGACGCCTTCGGCAAGTGCGACTTCTCGGCTCTTGAGTCTGCTTCCATTCAACACGGAGAGAACCTTGTTTCTCCAGTCGAGGGACAACTTCTTGTGGCCCGCCAACTTCTTCGTCACCTCAATCGAGTTGTCCTGGTCGCAACCCATATACGGCGGGCAGTCCTTGAACAGCGCCGAGTCGGAAACGTGTTTCCTGTCGTTATCCCACAACTCATCATCCAATCCCTGACCTTCAAACTTCTTGAACACGGCAGACCTCGATCTCAGGAAAGGGTACCTTTGGATCCAGTCCGCGTCCGGCCTCTTCTCGTGCTTGAATTGGTAGTAATTCCATAACCGGACCAGCACGCGGTCGCACTTCACCAGCTGCACCATGTCCTGCACGCTGAGCTTTCCCAACTTCGCCAACGACGGGGAGCCGACCTGGACCCAAACGACCTCACAAGCAAGCACCTTTTTCAGAACGCGACACTTCTCATTGTCCGTGAGTGATTCCATTGTTTTCCAACAATGCGCGTCCGGGTCTGGCACTTGCACGAACCAATCGCCCTCCTCTTTCTCCTTTTTGCCCTTTTTATTCGGCGGGTCCACAGGGAAGTTGTACACCACCTCCGTTCTGCCCAATTTGTCGTTGTGGATGTAGGCGACCCTAGGCTTTACGTTTTTGACCTTCTTCTTTTTGACGATCTACTTCGCCCCGTCGTGGCTCAGCAATCTGCCCATCTCCCATTTTTCGAAAAATTCCACGGCCAGTTTCCAGACATTTTCCCCGGCCATCGCCAGAGGTAAGTAAGAACGCAGGGCAGCATTTTGCTTCTTAATGGCGTCCTCTTCCTTTTGATCGGCGAGAAGCCACAAGCTGTTTTGAGGCGCCTTATGGAGCGCCGTTGTGCAAAACTTACGCCAATCCCGGACCTGATCTTGTTTCCCGCTAGGGTTCCCCATCACAGCTCTTGGGCAGCTGTCATGCTTCCACTGCCATCGAATGTCTTTCATAAAAAGTTTCAACTGTCTGGGAGGTGCCTTGAGGTCCTTGTTGTCCTGTGAACTAACAAGAAAATACCCTTCGAAGTCATCGTCGGAAAAGTACACCATCTGTGCCGGCCATCGCTCGAAATTGTACTTCTTGGCCACGTCGCTGCCGAGCAGCGACGTGGCTGCAGCCGCGTTGTGCTGCCCGCACACCGCGTAGTAGTAGTATTTTCCGGCCAGCTCGTCCATCCACTCCTCCGGCTTCAGACGTTGTGCCTTGGTCCCAGGAGTTGGTTTTTGAAGCCCCAGTGGTGCGAGCTTGAAGACCGACAACTCGTACGTCTGTTCTTTATTTTCGAACGCAGACCACATTGCTTCCCTTATCGTTTCCACGAGGACGGGATCTAGCGACCGCTGGTTGTAAAGATCCTCCCACTCCCTTWTGTCGACGATCTGAGCCRGGYTGAYCTCAAACTCCCGCCTTGTCCTGACGYCGTCTTTGTACTCCAGGAAGTACCYGGCGTCCACGTCGATRGCAGRCCWYGGTGTAGAAGGTCCYRACYCAGGCTGTTTATGTTTCRAAGSTGGACGTTTGCTACCCGSGTGGCCCTCTTCCACCCCCCTCCCCTTCCGTTTCTCTYMCGCAGTCCTCGGGGTCTTKGTCTTCTGTTTCTTCGAAGAGCCCACCAAGTCTTCTTGACATTCTCCCCTCCTTTTTTGGGGAGTGCCCTGCGCTCCCTCCCCGCCCACGGCCTCGCCTTCCGCGCCATGGCCCTCGGCAGGCCCCAAGTCAGACCCACACAGGACTCCCTCTTCTCCGGGATCCTTTGCGGTCTGTTGCCGGACGCCAGGTATGGACAGCACGGACCTGTCTCTTTCCCTCGACGGCGAAAACGGCGGACGCGGTGTCGCCTCATCTTCGCTGTCATCAAACTGACCTCTGGCATCCTCCCGCTCCACATGTGTAGCCTCCCCGAAACCCAGATCCCCCCCCTCCCCCGCTGCCCCGCTCGGCTCACAACCGCCGCACAGCTGCAAAGGCGTTGACAGTTCCAGGTCGGGGCCGACTTCGCAAGGGACGTCGAGGGCGATCTCCTTCGCATCCAACAAGTCGAAGAACTCTCGACCCAAAACAAACCCGCCCTGCCGTCGGAGGTCGTTGTAGAACGAGGTGTTCGCAGCACCCGCTCCTAACCCCTCGAACAGACACACGTCGAGAACCGCCCCCTTGGCACCGGCGACGACGTTCCCCTTGGAACCGTACACATTTTTCATGTAGAACCGTCGACGACTGCCTTTCGCATTCTCCCACCGCAAGACAGCCCCTAACACCCTACGCCGCTTGTTGGCTTCGACGAAGATCACAGGACCACACGGCTGTTGCACTGGGTTTATGCATTCCCACAGCACCAGTCGACGAACCATTTCGACCTAGCACGGTCGGACCACGTCCTCGAGGTCGTAGACGACCGTTTTGTAGAATCTTTCCCAGATCCCATCCCGGAGGTCGCTGCAGGCTCCCCTTCGCCCCTGGACGAAGACATATTGTCTATGTGTCCGAAATTCGATTTAACGCAGGGTCCTTGTTAAAAAATTGAACGCGCGTTCAATTCGCGTTCAATCCACGTTCAAACGCGCGTGGGACGCGAATAAACGGGGTCCGCGAACCGTTCTTTCGCGCTCTCGGGGGGGGGG